AGTTCAATGCTTTGAGTTGCAGACAGAATCATTGGTTCCCAGTTGATTCCTTTGAGTTGCAGACAGAATCATTGGTTCCCAGTTCATTGCTTTGAGTTGCAGACAGAATCATTGGTTCCCAGTTCAATGCTTTGAGTTGCAGACAGAATTATTGGTTCCCAGTTCATTGCTTTGAGTTGCAGACAGAATCATTGGTTCCCAGTTCATTGCTTTGAGTTGCAGACAGAATCATTGGTTACAACAAGTAGTTGCTTATTTCGACTTTTCTTAGTTTAGAACTATGAGTGATCTAATGGCTTCTGAATACATCAGCTAGTTGAACGCGTACTCTGTAGTGAGGAAACAAACACGGAATGAAATGATATATAAATTAACCAAATAAAGTCACTTCCACCAATACTACAGCTGAGTTTCTATCACATCAGTTTTTCTTTTTATCCGTTTTTATCTTTTTTTTTGTTTCCTGAGTGTCCAGCTAGGTTTGTTTACTGGTCGTTTTACCCTGTTTCTGTAGGATTGAACGAGAAAAGCAGAAGTTCCAGTCTGAAGTGTACGAACTGTTGGCTCAAGTGGAGAGTGCAAATAAAGATAAAGTAGGTATCATCAAGGTCAAGGTCAGAACGTGTCAAGAGATTAGAGGCAAAGTAGGTATAATCAAGGTCAAGGTCAGAACGTGTCAAGAGATTAGAACACGTTCTGACCTTGACCTTGATTATACCTACTTTACCCAAGAGATTAGAGGTAAAGTAGGTATCATCAAGGTCAAGGTCAGAACGTGTCAAGAGATTAAAGGTAAAGTGACGTTGTAACACACAGAAAGAGAATGCTTTACTGTAAAGAAAATTATGCAAACAAACTGTATACAAATAATAGTAGAAATATATTCTATTTCTCTTGCATAGCTTGCCTTTCAAAAAACTGTGGAAAAACTCGACATCCAGGTGCACGAACTGCACGTTCAAATAGAGGAATTGAACCGTACTGTGAACGAAGTCACTTCCCAGAAAACCCGGCTCAGCTCAGAAAATACGGAGCTTGTTAAGGAAATCCACGAGTATAAAATCTCCTTGGATAATGTCAACCACGTTAAGACGCAGTTGGCCACCCAGCTTGAAGAAACGAAGCGCCATCTAGAGGATGAAGAAAGAGTAAGAAAAATATATAAAAATAAGTTGTTGAAAGATGAAGATTTGGTGTGTAAATTTAGTTGAGCATAAACGAAGATAAAGTTTTAACGCTATCATTGTTGTTTATAGCCTCAATCTTAACACGATTATCTACATAGCTAAGCCTACAGAGTGAATACAACTGAAACTGTTTGATGTTTCATAAGTTGTTATAAAATATTAGATTCTCCAGATTTTTTAGGTTATTAACTAATTTAACTATTAGGACAGAGCATAAACTGTTAATATTAGCCCAAAAGAGACTAGTTACCCATTATGTAAAATTTCTTTGCAATGTTGAAATGGCCTCAAAAAAATAGGGGCACGTGAGAAGCATATACTTGTTTTGGGGGATAAATGTAGTTATATTAAACTACATAAACTATGTAGAGCCATGGTCACAAAAATATTGAAGAAGAGCGTTTTTATTAAGAACTGGTGCCTACTTCAAAACAGAACCTTCCGACCCAAAAACCCATTGTTATGAATTTGGGTATGTCTTTTATAGTTCACAAATTGCTTCGACTTTTTTTTACGAGAAAAAGACCACTACTATGTGCGTCGATTCCCAGTAGACCTAATGAGCCCTGGTATTTGGCGTAAGGTCTCGTTGGCTCTGGGTATGGCAGATATAGTATGATTAAAATGTTATTCCATATTCGTCATTACTTTCACTCATAAGTTCTTAGAAGGACTCAGTCTCCCATTGCAACTCCAATAGAAACTTAGGTCTGTTTGAAGTTAGGCTTAAAAGTTAGAAGTTAGGCTTAAAATATTAGTAGGTTTCTGGAAAGTTTCACTCGAGGAGTGGGAAATACTTGCATTGCTGTTCCAGAAAAAAAAAAAGCTTGATAAAGAAGGATCATTGGTCTTCAGTAATAGCATGTTAATTTTAACAACCGTTTCCAAAAAGAGTAAATAACTTTACTTAGTTATTGACACTCAACATGTGCTTGTAGACGAACAATTTCCACCAAGAAACTCAGTGTAGCAACTCATCTACATATTGAAGAATACACGAATAATTTGTCTATTTGTCAATTTGTTGACGTCCACTGGTCACCTTTTTGATACTATGCTACACAGTAAAAATATAAATTCGGCGTTCGTCTTTTGGTGTGGTAAAAATGCGATAATAATAATTATATCTCCTCATATAATTATTAAACTTCTACAAGCGAGGCCTAATGTAGGGTTAAGGCAGTCCTATCAGCAGCTCCAACGTTTTACCACTGACTCAGGTAACTAGTGTTTGGAATATTCAGTACTGTAATAAACCGTCGTCTTGATAAAATAGAATATATATCAAGTTGTTTCCCAGAAACGATCCAGCTTGGAGCAGCAAGTACATACTTTGGAACTGGAAGTAGAATCCTTGAAAGTCCAGATTGAAGAAGAGTCTGAGGCTCGACTGGAAATGGAACGACAACTATCTAAAGCTAACGGCGAGGTAGCTTCTTGGAAATCCAAGTACGAGACAGAAGTTCAGGCTCACCAGGACGAAGTGGAGGAATTACGGTAATACATCTTTATATATTGAACATTCCAGTTATAATACATCTTTATATTGAACATTCCAGTTATAATACATCTTTATATATTGAACATTCCAGTTATAATACATCTTTATAGGTTGAACATTCCAGTTATAATACATCTTTATATATTCAACATTCCAGTTATAATACATCTTTATAGATTTGAACATTCCAGTTATAATACATCTTTATATATTGAACATTCCAGTTATAATACATCTTTATATATTGAACATTCCAGTTATAATACATCTTTATATTGAACATTCCAGTTGTAATACCCCAATTGTTTCAGTCTAT